CTGATGAGTGTAACACCACTCAGCAACTTCGCACAGCTCTGTTAGATGCCTTGGACAGAAAAAATCTCACGGTCTGAAAAGGAGGGGAATGAACAAGAAACCTGCAACCAGGCAGATCTTGGCTCTGTTCCAGATAGTGAACAGGGAGTTACAAGTCTGGCAAAATCAGCAGCCAGACCCTTGCATCCAACAAATGATTTAGAGATAAGCCGAGAGATTTATTACCCCGAAAACGAGGGGGCAAATTTAAGACCATTAATTAAAACAGAGACCACCAAGGGTCAGGGTGGAAGAGCTCCGCAGGTCACCACTCGAACTACACCGTACCCAGCAACTGAGCTTACAAAAATTCAGGAGAAATACACCAGACGAGCTCATGAAACTGAAACTGAATATGTGTGGAGGGTATCTTTGACTGGTGGCGACTGAATTTTGTTATCAGAGGATGAGGCCCAGGGGTACTGGGGGCCAGGGGTTTTCTTAGTTACTGACGACCAGAGAGAACCGTGGTCGTTAACGCAACGAGCTGCTTATTAGGCTGGGAGTCTGGACCCCTTGGAAAGGGGGGATCCGGTATGTATTGAGACCCCAACTATAAATCATTTGACTGAAAGTCTGCAGAAGGCTGCTTGTCTCCAATTAATGCATGACAGGCGTTTGGTTCCGCAGCAGCCTGCCCCGATGCTATTAATTGCTAATCCCAATCAAATGACTCCCCTGATTCGGGGCTTGCCGGACTCTTTGAAATCATATCGTTTGCGGATTGCATTAACCCCACGGAGGGGTTAATGGAGAGCCCATGACTTGGGGAGAGCCCATGACTTGGGGAGAGATAGCTCAGGACTTAATAAATTATGGCCAAAGAATGGGCCTTACCAGGGGAACGGGTAAACCTAAGCCCTCCTTACGCAGAATGGGAAAGCAGGAAAATCTGTTTCCTTCCCCTCTGCAAGTTTTAAGAGCAAAGAGAAACCTCTTGTGGATTGAGGGAATGAAACAGGGGATTCCCCGAGAGTTAATGGATGGTCTGACTACTGCAGTTTTAGAAAAGCTCATTCGAGCCTGGAAAGGCAGAAGGAAGCTGCCCCCCCGGCTTCCGAGCAGACCTTTTGGACAAAGGGAGGGACAGAACTAACGAGATGGTGGTAATTGCTTCTCTGTGGTAATTGCTTCTCAAAGAATACCGTATCAATACCAGGGGGATTGTCCCTTCTTTCTAACCATCATTATTTTGTTATGCATATATTTGTTTTATAGGATATTGATACTGGACAACCAAAGACCTATGTTACTTTTAGTGCTTTCAATAGTTATAAGCATTATCGGCTAGTTATTATTTGTAATCTGCTTACATTGTTATATCATTTGTGGAATCATACCTGCTGAGTGTGGAGAGTCCACTTATTGGAAGGCTAATCTGGAGTTGTGCCTTAAGTTACCTTATTGGGAATCACCTCCAAAATTAAGGAAGCCTGTGAGTCACCTGTGACTGCACACTGGTGCTTGCAAATATCATATAACCAATAGCAAGATGAAATAATCAAAGACTAGCTGGAGGGGTCTGGTCCCACAAATTAAGCATTAATAAATTGTACCTGAATATTAAATTGTATTCCCATTTAAATCTTTATTGACTATCCAATGTGATTGTGTAACCTCAAATAGTTTTAGAAAATTTAACTTAGCATTTATATGTACTAACAAGGTATGCCTTTAAGGAATTAAAGGTGCAGATCCACCAAGCATCTAGGATGGTGTTGCAAAATCCAACTAGCATTGCTGAAGTAACATGGACTGTGCGGTGTGCTGAGTCTGACTGAGGGAGAATGCTGCCATCACCATCCATAATGCCATCACCTCTACAGAGGAGACCCATGCCACAATGAAGAAGATTGCCAACAGGAACAGAAACTTTTTCAACCGATGAACGGGTTTGATGGATGGAACCCTGGGTCATGGGTTACATCACCGGGATCCTCAGGACTCACGGGGTGGGGAAGATGGCTTGCAAATATTAGTATTGTAATATTGTGCAAAGTTTTGCTTTTCATAGTATGCCTTGAAGCAGTTGGATATACACTCTCTTACAATCTATCTTCTTTTTCCCTATACCCTTTGAGATCACAATGGTCAAAAAACTTGGGAGTGTTTGAGTCACGGGGTGGGATGTGAGAGCCGAGAAACCAGGCCTGTGAAAAACTAAGACAAACTGCCAGGGAAAGCAAAATTTATACTTGCTCCGGGGCGTGCCGAAAGCGTACGGGGCGTGCCGAAAGCGTACGGGGCGTGCCGAAAGCGTACGGGGCGTGCCGAAAACCGAGATACAGGAACAAGGGAGGTCTGAGCGAGGTCACAGTATAGAGGTAGGAAGACCAGGAGAGAGGGAAATAGGAAGGCAGGGATATAGAGCCGCAGACAGGCACGGCGAGGATGAGAATGCCAGGGAACAGGCCAGAGAAAGTTGTGGGCATAAAGAGACCCCAAAGTCGATACTAAGCGAGAACTGGAAAAGGAATATAACAGCGCTAGGTTACAGGAGAGAAAGGGAGGATGTAAAAAAAAGAAGGAGCGAGAGCAGGACCATGCGTCCAAAAAAAAAAAAAAAAGGGAGAGCTAGAAGACACAAAAGGGAGTGGGAGCACGAAAGGAGGAGAGCAGAGGTAAAGGGAATAAAAAAAAAAAAAAATAAATCACAGCAGCATGGGACAGAGAGGGGCCCAGGGGAGATCCCAGAATGTACAAGAGGGGCAACAGGGCCCCGAGGGTCCGCGACTCACCTCAGCTCTCGCTCTCAGCGCTGCCAAGAAAAATTTGCCAATTCACACCCTTCTTTCTCCTTCTCTCCTCCCTTTGTCTCCTGGCGCTGCAGTTGCACGGCTGTCCTCCACCTCAAAGAACACACAGGTGTCTCTCAGCTCTTACAAGACGCAGCTTCCTGCACATGCAGTCACACCCGCTCGCTGCGTGGCCATACCACACTCTGGGTGACACGCACAGACCCTGGGCAGACACTGGTGGTCTGGCCCTGCGGACTGTGCAGAGGGCTCCTTCCTCACCCAGAGGCAGGCTCTCTCTTCCTGCAGTGGAAGGCAGCTGCTGCCCACATGCCCTTGATTTTCTTCTTTCCCTTTCTCAGGCCTCTCCAGCTTCAGCTGTGGCAGCTCCTGTCCACAGCCAGAAAACATCTCAGGGGCCTGTCCCTTTTCACCTCTCTGCTGGGAGGAACACAAGGCCAGGCAGAGACACCCCACACAGTTCTGAAGTGGGTCCAGTCAACAGCATCCCCAGGGAAGGAACAGGCAAACATGGCCCTGGTGAGGCCTCTGGGAGAAGATGAAGCGACTGCCGTTATTACCATAGATCGCCCCTGGCTGGAGCCCTCCTTCCACAGGGGCTCCTGCAGAGGCGCCAAGGGCCAGCTTGCCGCCATCCCTGCAGGGCTTGGGGTGACCTGGGGCTACGGAACAGGCTCCAGGGTGAGGTGCGAGAGCTGGGGCCAGGACACGGTGTGGGCGAGGCCAGTACCAGCTCAAGGGGAGCTCTGGCAAGCTGGGGAGGCACCCAGCACCAACCCCAGGGGGACACCCATCTTCTTCCCCTCCTCCTTTGTCCCAGCTCTCAGGTAACTCCCTGGGGCTCCCCTAGCCCGGATCACCTCCAGCTGAGCAGAGGCCTGACACAGCGGGCAGTGTGCAGCTTCCTGTCCCACCACTGCTGTGTGGCCAGCAGGCAGAAGGGGCCCCCACACCTGCCAAAGGAGCTGGCTGGCCTCACCGGCAGCATCACCTCTCACCCACCACCAGAAATCATGCCCAGCAAGCCTCACGCTGCGGCAGCAGGAAGGCGGCTCTGGCAGTGCTGCACACCTGTGTGGGGCTGGCACCGCAGTCCTGCCCTTTGTGCACCGAGCGCCCACCGGCAGCGTGACGTGGGGTGGCAGCAGCATTTCCTTACCAGAAGGGGCACCGAGCATGGCCACACCCCCCCACGGGCATCGGAGCATCGCACTGATGTTACTGGTGGGTGGCAGTGTGGGGCATGGGGGCACCTCTGTGTGGCCCACTGGCAGCACCATGTGGCCTTTGCCAGGCAGCAGCAGTGAGCGCAGGCGAGCGCCACCCCCCGCATGAGCGGCGGCCGATCGGCACATCACTGCGCACACGCTCTCGAGGAACGGGCACAATGCTTGGTGGGGAGCAGCTGGAAGCCCCCAGGAATCCACGTGAAAGCGGCAACAAAACTATCCCTCGTGCTGCATCACAGGGACCACAGCAGTAGTGAGGACTGTGCCGCGCTACAGTCGCCCATGAGTGGTGCAGCTGCCTGGCAGCCAAGTCCACAGAACCTACAGCTCCTGGCACACGCTGGCCAACGCAGCACGGCCACCTGCACGCCAAGTGCTGTAAGACCACGCATCCCAGCATGACCCAGGGAACCAAAGTGGCTGGCTAGAAACCCCACACACCAGGGCTACAGCTCCGTCTGCGTTGTGAGAGACAGCTCTCCCTGCTTTCTGACCCTGCAGGGACACCATTGCTCACCTCTCCCAGCACACCCAGCAGCCCCACCAGGCGCAGCCCTGGACAGCCTGACCCACAGTGTCCCCACCACAGGCTCTGGGGGCAGCCCCTGCCACCAGCTCCAACACCGAGCAGTGCCACCCTGCAGGCACCGCCATCCTCCCCAGGAGCTGCCAGCTGATTGCACAGCTCCACTCACCTTCTCCCTCGGTGCAGCCACGGCCCAGCAATGCTCAGTAGTTGCTCTGCTCCTCCCTTGGTTGACACCAACTCCTCCGACAGCTGCCTTGCTCTTAACAGCAGGACCCGCCCCTCCACCTGGAGCAACCCCTTTACAGGGAGGGGCTGCTGCCATCAGCCTCACTGCCCACACCTGGGGCCCCTCCAGCCCCAGCCCACAGCTGGAGGCCATCACCCACCCTCACAGAGCATCATCACCCCTCCCAGCCCCTCACCTGGGGAAAGAAAGCACAAAAGGCAGCCAGCAGCCAGCAAGTGTTTATTCAGTCACACACAGAACAAGTCCCAGAAGGGAGTGAATCTCCTCCGGGGCTCAGGGCCACTAATGCTGCCCCTGACACACCTTGGCACTTGTTCCCAGAGCCACGCTCCTCAGTCCAGCCGGGAACAGTCAGTCAGTCTGCTCCTGGAGCAACGGGCTGCTGGGTGGAGCTGGAGACTGCAAAAAGAGAGAAGCAGGACGCTAGAAGATGAGAAAAGAGGCAGCTGGCTGGCCAGTATGGGGGTAGAGAGAAAACAAGAGGTGAGGAACAGGGTAGTGAGAGGATGGGGACAGGGAGCCCAACATGGATATGGAGAAAAAAGCAGTAGGGAGAGAAGAAAAAAGACAGCAGAAAGAGGAAGAAGGAGCAGGACAGAAACCAACAAAGAAGGATGAGGAGCAGGACAGAGATGCAGAAAAAAAAACTGGGATGGGCAGCACAACAGACAGAGGAAAAAAGAATAGGGGCACGGAGCTAGACCAAGAGAAATGGCAAAAGACAAAAAAGCCACAAAGAACAGGGCACAGAGGGAGGAAAAAGCAACAGTGATGGGGAGCCAGGACAGTAAATGACTGAGGGAAAGGGCAGGGGACAAACCCCAAACAAACCACATAGCTACATGTTACAGGGCAGAGAAGGAAGAATTAGGAAACGGACAGAGACAGAAAGGAAGAGACCTGGAGCCCAAACCTAATACTGATGCATACAGAAAGAAGGGGGGGGATTCTAATACAGGTGAAACAGAGACAGTGAGATGGAGAAAGAGCAAAAGCAACAGACTACAAGGTGACAAGAGAGGAATTACTGAATAGTAACAGAGCGCCAGCCAGGAACAGGCCACAAAAGAGAAAAGATCACAGGGGGTATGGGGCACAGAGAAAGGAATTAAAAACCAGGGACAAGAAGCCAGACAGAGAGAGAGAGAGGCAAAAATTAAATGGGGAAAAGAGACAGACCACAGGGCAGAGAGGGAGGAATTGATAAATAGGGACAGGGCACCAGACAACATGACAGAATGGGAAAAAAAAATAGCAGCAAGCTACAGGGAAGAGGGAGGAATTAAAGAACAGTGACTGGAAGACAGACAGAGACACATGGAGAGAGAAGACAAAAGAGCAATGGGTAACAAGAGGGATAGGGAGGAAATAAAAAATAGCAGAAGGGAGTCAGCCAGAGAGAAAGACACCAAGGAAAAAGGCCAGACAGGGTATGATGGGAGGAGGTAGGAATGAAAAACTGGGGATGGGGAGTTGGACAGAGAGAGATGGAGATCGCAGGGAATAGCAGCAGGTGCAGGAAGAAGAAGGAGGAATTAATCAATAGGGACAGGGAGCTGGACAGAGAGGGATGGAGAAAGGCAACAATAGTGGCAGGGTACAGGGCAGAGAGAGGGAGGACCTACAAGATGGGGGACAGGGAGCTGCTCCAAGCAAGATGGAGAAGGAAAATACAAGTGAGCAAAAAACGTTGAGCAGAATCAGAAAGAGAGGAGTCTAGGAGAAAGACAGGGAGGGACCAGGAGACACAAGACGGATATATGGGGCCCAAGTGCTCGGGACTTACCGCAGCTCTCAGCACTGCCAGGAAAGTTTGACAGGTCAGAGTCTTTCTTCTCTTTGTCTTCTTCCTTCCTCTCCTTTAGCTCCAGTTGCCTGGATGTCCTCTGCGGGAGAGCTGAGCATGCACACAACCAATGTGATCAAGCAATGCCCGTTTATTACAACTAAGAAAGCCTTTTTATAATATTCTCCCGCACACGTGAGTAACATGCAGTACAAGTCCTCAATATTGGACAGTTAACTTAGCCTGCGCTTTAAACCTTCTTATGATTAGATAAAAAGTGCCACATCAGCCTTGCCAGGCTTCCTGCCTTGTGTAACTTCCTCTTCTGTCCCAACCCCTCCCGGGGGTTGTTTGTCTCGTCGAGTTTCTCCCCCCTCATTCAGGGTCACATCCTTATCGCATTCTTGCTCAGCTGAGGCTCTTATCAGTCTTGTTCTCACACAGGATTGCTCACATGTCCATTCTCTCGCAGAAAGCCCTCTAGAATCCCAACAGAGAAATCACTAGAAAAAGAAGGAGTCCTGCAGGCATAGGATGGAAGTAATACAGGTTCAGGGAGCAAGACAGAGGAAGAGAGATAATGATGAGTGGAGACTAGAAAGGCAGCGAAAGATAAATCAAATGGGGGGGGAAAGGAAGGTGGGAAGGAGGGAGAGCAAGAGACGGTCAAGAAGGCAGAGAGATTGAAGGGACGAGAGAGCAAAAGAGGGAAAAATGGAGAGGGATTGGGACGGGCTACAAGGTGAAAGGGAAAAGGCCATGGAACAGGAGAGAATGGCACAGGGAGCTATGCACGGGGTTATAGTGGGAAAGAATACCACAGAGAGGGGTATCGATCTCTACAGGCAAAATGTTTGGGAGAGGATGGAGGACCGAGAAGAAGAGAAAAGGGACAGGCAGCGAGGCAGTGATGCAGAAAGAAACAGTAGCAACTGAGAGATGAGAAGAGGGACAGGTCCAAGGCAGAGAGGTGGAGAAAGAGCATCAAGCCAGCGATGGGAACAGGCCAGAGGGATCAGGAAAGAGAGGAGGCAGCATTGAGGCATCTAGAAGAGAGGTGAGCAACAGGGAGCCAGAGAGCAGGAGACGACTGCGGAAGAAATAGACAGGGAGTAGGATGCTGGCCTGGAACCAAAAAGAGCAACAGAGAGAAGTACAGAGAGTTGGAGCATGAGAAACGACAGGAAGAGTGAACGAGAGAGATGAATCAATCCGTAGATTCCAATTCTTCCATCAATTCAATTCGTCAAAGAGCACATCAAGGCACGAATAAAGGGAGTGTCAAAAAGTTGCAGGAGACCTAAAAGGGAAGAGCGTGAGGGGTGGGGTAAGAGCTCCAGAGAAACCTGGGGCCTGCACCGGCGGCAGACGTGCATTCAAGCACTCTGGAGCAGCTTGAAAGCGAACTGGAGAGCCCTGGGCTGCCTAAAAAAGGAAAGAGTCATCACGACCAGAGAGCAAAGGGAGGGCTTTGGTGCACCAAAAATAAATTTATACACCTTGGGGCAAGAGAGGTCAAATGAAAGGCCTTAGGGCACTGTTACCTCATGCGCGCACTTGCAGATGGGAGACTTTGGAAGTAACTGATACAAACCGATTACAATATTTATTGATTTGTGAACACATTATGAGGAATCTGAGAAAACAGGAAAAATAATTGTCTAGATAAATAACACATTACTTCACAATTATATTATTATGCAAACTAATTCATGCAACTATAAAGCTGTTAATTATTGACCTTAAATCTAACAAATCACGTATGTTGCCTGTGGATTGTCCCTGGGGTCTTCCTCTGTTGTCCCTGTGGACTTAGGATTCACTGATCACCTTTACTATCATCTGTAGGCACCCTGCATTCCTACCATCACAGAGGTGTCCTCTGTTATTTTTTTCCTAGATCCAGACAGGCTTCAGGAATTGGCCAGCAAGAACCTTAAAGAAAGTTAGCGAGGACAAATGAGCCCAGGAAGGAAAAAACGCTCATGGCTGGGGAACAGCTCTGCAGAAAAGGACCTGAAGGTCCTGGCAGACAGCAGCCCAAACATGAGTCATCACTGTGCCCAGGCAGCAAAGAGGGCCAACAGCATCCTCAGCTGTATTATGAGGAGCACAGTCAGATCTTGAGGGAAGGGATTATCATCTTCATGTAGGACTCGTTTGGCCACATCTATGGGCTGTTCGGAAATTAATTGCCGATTTCAACCTGTATGTTTGAAGTGGAATATCTCAGCTCAGAAAAAAATTTATTAATCGAAATAAAAGCCATTAGAATCAACACATTTTTGCCAACGAGAAACAAGCATATTTATTCCGGTGGCATAAAATACTGGACTTCTGGAGGCGATGAAGTCATCAAAGGCAGCTTCGGCCTCCCCTTGGTTTTTGAAGCGTCTCCCGCACAGGAAGCTGTCAAGATGCTTGAAGAAGTGATAGTTGGTGGGCAAGAGGTCTGGTGAGTATGGTGGATGAGGCAGAGATTCGTAGCCCAGCTAGTTCAACCATTGCAGCATCGAAAGTGCAACGTGTGGCCGCGCATTATCGTGGAGAAGGATTGGACCCTTTCTGTCGACTAGTGCTGGGCGCAGCTGTTGAAGTTTCTGGTGCATTTCATTGATTTGCTGGACGTACTTCTCTGCCGTGATTATTTCACCTGGATTCAGGAAGCTGTGATGGATTAAACCAGCAGCAGACCACCAGACTGTCAGCATGACCTTCTTTTGATGCAGATTCGACTTTGGGAAGCGCTGCGGAGCTTCATCGCATTCCAACTACTGAGCTGATCATCGCCGGTTATCGTAGAGCATCCATTTCTCGTTGTACGTCACAATATAGTCGAGAAACGGGTCGTTCTGGTTGTGAAAAAGAAGCGCCGACAACACTTCAAAACGGCCATTTCTGTGATTCTCACTCAATTCATGCGGCACCCATTTGTCGAGCTTCTTTGACTTTCCAATCTTCTTCAGATGCTCAGAAACCATCGATATGCCTACCCCAAGTTCTTTTGCAAGTTCTCGAACAGTTGTGCGTGTATCTGCTTCCACCAGAGCCTTCAATTCATCGTCAATAGCAGAAGGACGTCCACGACCTTCTTGATCTTCAAGGCTGAATCAAAGTCACACTGTCCGTTCTTTAACACTTCCCTGGCCATATACCTCCTTGATATTTCGAGCAGCTTGCGCTACATTACGTACAAATTTGAACTCGTAGAAGTAGATGTGTCTAAATTGCTGTTTTGACATCTGAACTTCAAACCTCCAAAATTTGTCAGAAACGCAGTTTATATTATAATTTAATTATACAGCGTGAAAGTTCGTAACATGAACTTTTCAAAAATATACAACAGTACACCAGTCGAGAAGGTGCTATTCCTGAAACATACAATGAAAATCACATTACAAAACAGAAATTAATTTCCGAACAGCCTATAGCCTACTCTGTCCAGTTCTGGGCTCTGCAAATACAAGACCTTGACCAACTAGATTGAGTTCAACAGAGCACAACCAAGATACCGAGAGAGCTGGAACATTCACAGTATGAAGGGAGGCTTAGGGAAGGGGAACGGCCTTCCCAGCCTGGAGAAAAGGTGACATGTGGGAGCAAGAGGCAGCTAATAGCAGCATTCTGGTATCTGCATGGTGATTACTGAGAAGATGGAATCAGGCATAGTGGTGCACAGTGGGAGGACAAGAAGCAACAGGTGCAAAGTGGAGCAAGAAAGGTTCAGGTCTGATATAAGCAGAAATTTTTTCATGGTAAAGAGAGCTAAGCATTAATTGGAACAGACGACCCTGAGAAGTCATGCAGTCTTCATCCTTGGAGGTTTTCAAGGCCAGACTGGATAAAGCCCTGAGATGCCTGATCTGACCTCAAAGCTAAACCTGATTTGAGCAGGAGATTGGACAAGAAAAACCTCCCGCAATCTGTTCTGACCTGAATTATTCTATGATCCTGTATCTTATACTCTCATGTTTTCTGAAGTTTGGCCCCCTGCTGCCATTGCACATCCTTTTCTTTACCTGAATACCTTTCAAATAAACAATATGCTTCTAATTATTTTTTGACCGCTGCTCCCTGTTGCACCACATCTATACCAAAATTATAGGCAATTGCAGTCCTACATGATACTACTGATACTGTTACCTAGGTCTGAGTAGCCTTGCTTCCCAAAACTTACCTGTCACTATTCTGGACTCTATTCTGTCCTTGATTCATCTACCCTACTATAATTAAGGATATTCTTATGCACTGATATTTTACATACCAGATCAGCAGAGTACGCCTTGCGTTCTTCCAGTATCCCCTAAAACCCCTCCATCATTAAGTTTCTGTTCTGCTAGTGGAACAGATAGTTACACTGTAGCTGTTACTGCATCAGCTCTGTCCTGCTTTCTTTGACAGACTATCCTTGTGCTTCTGCAGTTTATTTCACTGCTCTAACATCATGCCACCATTTTCAATTATACCTTCCTCAGAATTTCTTTTCTCTCTCATTTGCAACCCTCATGCCCGCATATACTGTGAAATAAACATGCTTTCACAATGTCTCATGATCTCCTGAACGAAACTGTACTGTCAGCATCTGTTCTTTATTGTTCTTCTTACTGATAACTGGTTTTAGTTCCTCCAATAAAATTAAAACATACACCTTGTGTCAATGACCCTGTGGTCTTGAACTTTGGAGCATAAATGCTTGTAAAACAACACACATCTCCTTCCATTTCAGAAGAAGCTGATGCGTGGGAACTGAAATAATTGAAATAATGTGTGGGAGTTCTACTGACTACCTTTCCCATCCCCCTCCATCTTCTCCTGAATCAGAGATGACCTCTGACAAGGAGCATCTCCTTTGATTTGTTTTGCTTCAGTAAGTTACAACAAACCTTTGAACAGTGAGAATCTTGTTTATTTCTGGACACGTGTTTCTATAAAAAGCTTCTCCCAAGAGGCACGAAGGCTATCACAATCAGCCATCCTGAATCATCTGGACAAAATATGGAATTCGTTGGCATAGATATTTATTTCTTCATTCTCTTCACCATCACTGCTCTTTGGAATGCAGGTGAGTGACTTCCAAAACTTTTGCTGCTTTTAACTACAAACTGTTTTGACTTCCGAACTTCAGAATACACACATCAGTAAGAAATTACTGATACCCTTTGTACAAGCTAAAGCAAAGGCACACAAGCTGGCTTTTGCCAGCAGTGTCATTTTCAACCTCTTCCTTTGTGATTTCCAGTAGGAGAGTGGATCTCTTCTGTAAGTAAACAGACAATCTGGAGAATGCAGTAAATATTTTTAAAGACATAGAACGACTTTCTAGCTCCCTATATTGAACAAGCATTTCTACCTCCATCACAGGCAGGTTTTCTGGTATAGAAAGAAGGCTGACTTTTATTTCTGACTCACTACCGTTCCTGTTTTATCCTACCACACACCCACATACTATCCACTATCCCAGGGTAAAGGAGGAAAACCAACAGAGAGAGATTTTACTACCTTTTCCTTTTCTTGATCTCTCCATCCTACCAAAAAAACCAAACAGCCCTCCCTGTCCCCCTACTCCATACACAAAACAACACTCAGCAACATTTTCTCCTCAATTCAGCAGAAGATTACATACCTGTAACTACAAGTGATTGCTCTTCAGCCCCATGAGGGGTGACCGTAAATTATTTCCTCCTCTCCTAGTCTTGTTCATACATTGTTAATGACCTTTGAGGAGCAGATGAACCCATCAGCTTTTGGGATGCAGCAGATTTCTCTGTCTCAAACTACTAGAGCCAGATCTGCCATACTGTCAGATTCAGGAAATTCCTCCTGTCTCAGTTCCCACAGATGTGCATGCTGCTGTTCCCATTTGTAGGTCCAGCCAGTATGGAGGCTGAGCCTGTATTGCAAAGAGGTAGATAACATATCCTACACCCACCACATCAACACAGCCAGCCACACAGCTAACACGGAGCAATGCTTTTACTGGCATCCAAATAAACACAGACATCACTCCCATAAACCTGCACACCACTGAGTTCCTCCTCTCCAGCTCCTCTTCTTCCATCTCCTCCTCTTCCATCACAATGGAAGGTGACTAGCAAAAACACAAACACACCCTTTCTCTTCCGATTCACGAACCCATCACATTCATAGACACCTTGCATGCTAGTATAGGCTTTAAATTTGTCTATTAGCTAAGCCCAGACCCCAAGTCCCTTACATGGTCAACAGCTCAGACCTCAGGCCTTTGTAAGTGCAGGTCTCCTACTGACTGGCTAGTTCATCCTGAAGTTCACTCACAATTACAACATGCATACATGCACACAAACACAAGAGAGCAAGGTGATACGGAAAATAGCAACGGGATTTAATAAAATGTCTACGGTGATCAGGTGCTGGGATCAGACAGAGAAACGTACTGACTAGCAGTTTGTTTATGTGTGACTGGGTCCTTTTATGTTCCCTTCTCCCCATTTTCCCATGCTTGTTCTTCACCATTCACCATGACCCCTCCCTTCCATTTTGGTTGTATCCTCCCAAATAAGCAATCCTCCCCTACTTACTTTTTCATCACTGGTCCTGCTTTTGCTACATCCACATCCAAATTTAGAATTTCTGATACTTAGGTCATCTCACCATTGCATGGTATTATTGATATAGTTACCCAAGCAGTGTCGCCCTTGCAAGACCCCACTGCCCCAAAGGTCCTCAGTACTCCCAGCTGTCTGTGCAGCTTGTGTATCTCACTTAACTCCCCCTCAAACGTTAGTGAAATCTAGCTGTTCTTCACAGTGTTACTGTAAAATCTATCAACTTCTCACTGTTTTATTTGTGTTGAGCAGTTTTTCGTGTCTTGTCCGGTAATTATTAACTCATGGTCTGTTCAGCTAGACATCACCCAGGCCTAAGCCAAGGACCTAGTCATCTGTCTGCGTACCTAGTTATCTTAACAGCTACCTTGTTAAGGTTACACTCAAATAAAATGCACAAAAGAAAGAACCTGCAGGGCGAGGAGGGGATTCTCACCCCTCTGCTCCTCTCTGTGAGACCCCCCCTGCAGGGCTGGGTCCAGCTCTGGGGACACCAACAGCAGAAGGACACAGACCTGCTCAAGCGGGGCCAGAGGAGCCACGGAGATGCTGAGGGGGCTGGAGCACTCCCTGTGAGGACAGGCTGGGAGAGTTGGGGGGTTCAGCTGGAGAAGAGAAGGCTCCGGGGAGACCTTAGAGCGGACCCCCAGGGCTGAAAGGGGCTGCAGGAAAGGGGGGAGGTACTTGTAATTGGGAGGTAGGAATAGGATGAGGGGTGATGGTTTTAAACTGAGAGAGGGGAGATTTAGATGAGATCTGAGGCAGAAATTCTCCCCTGTGAGGGGGCTGAGGCCCTGGCACAGGCTGCCCAGAGAAGCTGTGGCTGCCCCCTCCCTGGAAGGATTCAAGGCCAGGTTGGACGGAACTTTCAGAAACACAATCTAGTAGAAGGTGTCTCTGCTTGTGGCAAGTGGGTTGGAACTAGATGATCTTTAAGGCCCCTTTTGACCCAAACCATTCTGTGATTCATTCTATGATTCAAATTTCAGTAGCTGTTCATAATCGCATGTTGGAGCACACTTTGTCACTAATGTTAGCGTTCCATTGATCCAAAAGCGCTAGCCTTCCGTTCTCATTGATCCCCATGTAGGGTTGGCAGTGATGAGACTCCATTCTGGTTTAAGACCTACTCCTAGAAATAAATACAGAGTGACACTCACCGAGGGGCTACTCTAGAGATTTATCTTTCTATTGGATGTAAAAATATCAATGGAATTGGTGAAATTACATGCTGTCTGGGAGGTAAATAAGTGTATTTTTCTATTCAAAATGGAGGAACTTTAATAGGCAAGTGATTACAGCCTTCACCTAAATACATTCCTGAACTAACATAACCAGGTTACTTCATTATTTACAATAGTCCTTTAGATGATGTACTTTTGTTTCAGAGAACATCTGGAAGAGTTCAATAACATTCCTGACTATGTCTTTTTCTTCCTTTAACAAGGAGCTCAAGATTCTTGCTCACACCAATGTGGGGAGCTGCTTGGTACCTGTTCTTGCCAGGTGACATGCCAGTCCTTGGGAACTTGCTGTCCCGACTATAAAGAATTCTGTCTTCAAATTTCTCCACACTCAGGATCTCTGATGGGAGGCAAAGACTTTTTGATTGAAAACACAGCTTTTAATGCCTCTTCTGTGATAACGTGCAGGTGGGTCATGATTTTATATTCCTCTACCAAAGGGAGGTGAACTTTTCTAATCTCTAATGTCTGACATGTAGTTACCACAAAACAAGTCTAGTCTATACAGGAGTGAAAATTTACTTTGTAAAGCTGTTAGAAACACGCGAAGGTTCTGCTAAACCTCACCCACAAGGATACATATTGCCTGTATTTCTACACAGGATCATTTCATTTAGGTCAAGTTATTGTGCAACACAATCATTACTCTGCTAGTTCTTCCCTTAATATATCAAAACAGTTTTCAAAAAGTGCTTCTTTTGGGAGCTCTTTGTTGTCAATATTCTTTTAGCATTTCCATTTTGTGAAAAAGAAGCATTCATTTCTTAATCTGAATGAGAAAGCAACAAGAAAGAAAAGTAGGTAGGACACCTTATCTTTTTCCTGTAAAACAAAGCGGTGGATCCTAAGCAGTCAGCCCGGATCACACACTTTGGTACGTGTGTCACATATGCAATACATAAGGTACGCTGAATTTTACTGACCCTGATGGCCTAACATTCTTTGCACAGAAGGTTCTGAGTGAGATTTTGGAATCCTTCCCATCTGGATAGCAGTACCCGAAACAGTTTTTAGTTCTTCACTGGGAAAACCTTTAACTCAGGCATTCATTCTATAGAACACAACTGTGTACTTTGAATTTCCTGCACAGCTGCATTATCAGAGCCAATACAAACTTCAGTGCAGACAAGCAAAGGTACTACTTCCTAGCAGGCCTCAACTTCCTACAGTACTCAGAGGAGCTGTGCAGTCACCGTGCATCAATCCCGAAGAGTCATGGGTGGGATTATACTTTAGCGCACTGGACAAGAGCCCTAACTGGAAACAGGTGGTTAAATAACGAGCAATGAGTTCTGAGTTAATCTTTGCAACAGAAATTCTAGAACAGCATGAAATTACTTTTGTTGTATTCACAGGATTTACCAGCTAAAAAACCCCACAAAAGCATAAATTTGCAATGCCTGCGTATCATGGTCAACATTAGTCACCCTGTAATCCTATTAATCCTGTAACATCACCTTTGTCTTCCTACTGTCCTTTTGTTATTTGTTGCTAATTTATCATGCCCCCCTCCCCCCTAGTAATTAAATAGTAAATCTAAGGCTTGCAGATTGCTGTGTATTTGTGCAGGGCACAGCAGAACCCACACTGGTGTAATAAGCACAAAGTACACATTAATTTTTTCTGTTTATAGTCACTGATACAAGCAAAACAGCCACGGGACTTGGAACGATCTACACACGACACAAGGTTGCTTAATGAAACACAACTGAGACATTCAGAATTTTCTTTCTCACAGTGCTGACGCTGAAAAGTGTTTTCAACATCAACAGGTTCAAGCAGAAAATCAAAACCAGTGGCTATGTTGCTAAGGATGGAAAAGCCCACTGCATCTCCCCACTGCTGTATGAGACTGGTTTCATCCCTTTTGAAGTTTCTACTGATGATGGGCTGACGTTCCCATACTCCGGAACTTGGTTATCAGGTTACTTACTTCAATCTACTTCTCCATGGATGCAAGATTATATAAACCTTCCCCTTTTGATCACTCTTCTTCTACCTTAGCAGGCTGTTTGTCCTCAGAAAAGTCACTCTTGTTGCCCTTGTTGCCCTGTATTTTGAGAAATGAACTATCACAGCAATTGAGTTCTGCTGCTATACAGTAGCAGCAGTGGCATTAACTCATACAAAGTCCTACTTAAAAATGAGGTTGACCAAAATAGTACCCTTTTTCTAGATACTTCTGTTGGAAATTAACTGCATCGTGGTGTTGTCATCTAAGGACTACAGATATTAGTAAGGATTGTATTCTCTCAGCTTCAGCTTACTCTTTTATATCACGCATCCCGTTCAAAAACTTACACAGGGGAAAAACCGCTAAATCTTAAATAATACAGCGGCACCTTTTCAGAGCTATGAAAGGCAGAAATGTCAATAATCTTTTTTTTCTGCTTTGTAATGCAGTACATCACAGCAGAATTTCGGATAAAGAAAAATGCACATTGGTAAATGAGACAAAATGGCAATACTATGGGACCCCCAGCACTGATGGAAACTTAACTCTTACCTGGACACACCAGGCACTTGCAGCAACCCATATCAACATAGAAGTCTGGGGATACCAGGAATCAGGTAAAGTGACACTTTTCCTACTGCACACAAAAGCAGTCTTCACAGGTGTAACTTATGTGCAGAGCTCTGCGCAGCATGCGGTCACTTTCACACCTCAAGAAGAAATCTACAAGTATACCTTATGACAATCATGTCAGCTTTTCCTCTTCATTTACATATGGGTGGAGACATCTAATTTCAATCCTGTGGTAATTGTTCTTTTCTGTGTCCAAACCTATTTTCTTCCTGTACGTGACAGGTGACAGTTACTCAGAAAACTGGCTGGCTGAATGGAAATATCTTTATACCTTGGCAAGAGAAATCCCCAATACTGGGAAATTCTCTTTCGTTCCTGTACCTGCTAAAGGAAATTACAGTACATGGGACTTTGGAATTTTGAGAATTACATCCAGCAACTATTCTGATGGGCAGAGGCAAGTACATCACAACATTCATTTATCCTAAGTACCTTATTATTGCCTCCTGTATTAAAGCTGCTGTCTCCTTTGTGATGTTTAAAACTGGGACTCGGGTTCCATTTCACATGAAAAAATGGAGAGAATTGGAAGGGCAGAAGTGAGAAAAATTCATGGGTCGAGATAAAGACAACTGACTAAGTAAAGAGGGGCACAAGCAAAGAGGAAGTAATGCAAAGGCAATCGTTCACCACCTGCCATAAGCAGACAAATGCCCAATCTGTCATCCAGTAAGGGCTGCTTTGGAAAATCTCCCCTGCAGTTTTATTGCTGAGCATGATGGTCTCCAGCATGGAATATACCTTTGGGCAGTCTGGGTCAGCTGTCACAGCTGTGTTCCCTCCGAGCCTCTTGCCAATGCCTATCCTACTCCCTGGGGGGCAGCGTGAGAAACACAGAAGTCCTTGACACTGTGCAACCAGCTCTTCGGCAACAGCTAAAACATTGGGGTGTTATCAGCACTGTCCTGATCACAAATCTAAAACATGGCACTGTATGGGCTGCTATGAAGAAAATTACTCCACCCCAGCCAAACCTAGTACTGTCGGCAAACTAGGATCTGCTGATTTCTTTTGTCACAACTATGGAGGAGGCCCTGAATGTCAAACTTTAGTCACTGCAGTCACAGGCCTTCCTCTGCATTTAATTTGTTTTCAATTTTGTATGCAGGCCTTTCCATTCCTACAAATATTATACCCAGTTCCTTTTATTTCATTGTATATTCCCCATGATTTTTGGTGATTTACCTCTGTAAGTGTTCCATACATATTCTAAGCTTGCACAGATATTCCTTCATAATTTTTCCATATCTGCAGTTTTTGATATAGAAGGTGTAGCTCCTATGAATATATAATGCCACCTCTTCAGTGTTAGAACATATTACTAATACACCAGAACCTTTTTTAGCATTTAGGAGTCGCTACCCACAGAAGGGTAACCTTTTATCTTTCTAGAGGGTTTTTTTTTATTACACTTCATGTTTGATATTTCTTCATGGGTGGAGAGCAGAGTAGCCTTGGGACATTTCAAGGATTCTGTATGGTTTCTCCCCATCTATTGCCATTGGGCCTGATACTACTGGGGCACGGGGATAAGTTTTGTTAAAGAATACAGATGTTCTTCATTCTGACCTAAATGGAACTATGATGTGAAAAAGCATGAATAGAAAACCTGTCTCTAGGAAGATCCACATAAGTCAGAATCACAAATGCGAAAATGTATTTTGATTATTGCATACTTGCTGCATGCTTGTCATGTCACCTTCTGAATTAGAAAATTTTGATTTGCTGTAACTTTTTTCAGGAAAAGAAATTTTCAATTTGCAATGAAATAACAACTCGCAAGTTGAAAAATTCTTCATAATTAGTGATTAAGACAGTGTTACTGTCAAAACAGTACTTGTTTAGCTATCAGATCTACTTTTTGGTTGGTTGTTTTGTTTTTTTTTTTCCCAGCAACATTCCATCAGTCTGGAGCCAAACACATGCATTGGCTTGGCACCTTGGAAACGACTTCAGAAATGACCCAAATGCATGGGCAACTGCAAAATGTACAGAATGGGACAGAAAGGAGGAGAAGCTTCCAAGCTTTATAGAAGAAATTACCGATTGCCCTTGCACCCTGGCACAGGCAAGAGCTGACACTGGCAGATTCCATGTAAGTTACTAATCAACCCCTCTGGCTTATTAGGGCTCCCAGTAGAAGCTTACGGAATGTCATACTCGTGACACACCCCTGTTCCCTCTCTAAAACTCATTACAATGAAATGAGATTGTATTTAAACTTGCACAAATAGCATGTCAAACGGCAGAGGCAGATACAGCTTACCCAGGTAGTATGAATAAAAAAAGTGCCTGTAGAACAGCAGATGGAAAACACCTGCAAACAGGGAGGTAAGACAGTAGTTCCAGGGGTAGACAGAAAACACTCAGGGAGGGCAGTGAGCTCGGTGGAGCTGGGAGCAGGGACGACTTCTTCGAGATCTTCCAAGATGACAGTCTGTGTTTGTAGACAATATCCCATGCTCAAAGAAGCAGGCCACATTTCTGCCTAGTATATCATAATTTGTTGCAAACCTTTCCACCTTGTACTTCAGAGCTCAAGCCCACAGCTGTAATCTATTATTTCCTGTCTCCTGCTTCCTTCCTCCTTCTCAACTTCACTGTTAACAAGGAACTGACAAAAGCTAGGAAATCAATTGCCATTTAGTCTACACTTTCACCTACAGCGCCGATCTGAGGACCAGATAGGGTAACTTCCTCTCCTATTTATGATACCAAATGGTGCAGTGTGTTTATGCATATAAAAAAAAAAAAAAAAAAGTTGGGTAATTTTTGTTACTATCCTTTCCTGGTTATGAAACTCCAAACACAATGTGTATTTTAAATGATACTAAAACGATAACTAAAGTTAAAAGCATGTGAAGAAAAAATAAACTAGATCTACTGTACTGGCTCTGTCTAAGAACACAGGACAAAAGTTAAATTTAGTCTGGCATGATCCGTGTTTGTTATGCACTTAGCTGAACTCCCCGTCTAGCTGCATCTGTTCTTCCAAGATCTGTTGCAATAAACTGCAAAATGCTCAGGTTAGACTAACACGTTGCTCCCCTCACTTCAGTATTAAATTCACTGTTTTTCCTAACATTCATGCTACTCAACACACAGCTGCAACCAGTTCATTTAGACTACAAATACGTCAGAGATGAAGGGTGAGGACATAAAAATAGAAAGGACAATGGAGAAAGAACCCCATTAAATGTGAGCATTGATCTTTTTCAGACAGATTATGGCTGTGACATTGAAAAGGGGAGCGTGTGTACTTACCACCCTGGCGCTGTGCATTGTGTAAGAGCTGTTCAAGCCAGGTAATTTTTTTTAAACCACATTTTTTTAATCACTTGTTAGACCTCAGAGATAGCAGTGTCACAGAAGTCACAAAGGTCTACGGACTCTCAACTCTCAGGTTCATAGCAACAACTGTTTGCATCTTATTCATGTATTGGACCTCACTGCTGAGATGAAGTTAAGGCCTTAGCTTTAATAAACAATTAATTGCACTGTGTGTGGTGGTTTGACCTCAGAGGGCAACCGAGCACCACACAGCCGCTCACTCCCCCTCCCCCCAGGGCTGAGGAAGAGGGAAACAAAAGACCCAGGAACTTGAGATAAGGACAAGGAAGGACGATCTTATCCTTTAAGGCACAGGCAAATGACAGACTCATTAGGGGAAGAAAAAAAGCACATACAATTTATACAGACACCAAGAACAACAACATATAACAGAGCAGGACCACAAGAAGCATCACCACATATTGAAAACACCTTTGCCCACCCCTCCCATTTTCCCAGGCTCAGCTTTGCTACCGGTACCTCTACCTGCTCCCCCCTCAGTGGTGCAGGGATCAGAGAATGGGGGTGCAGTCAGTCCTGCCGCTTCTTCCACCTCGGGGGAGCGGGATTTCTGGCCTTCCTCCCCTGTCCCAGTGCAGGTTCCCTCTCATAGGAGAGAGTCCTTCCCAGGCTCCCTCCGACGTGAGACACTCCCACAGGCGTGTGGGTCGCTCCCGCATGTTGCAGCCGTCCCAGCCCCAAACTACCACAGCGGGGCCTTCTTCCCACAGGGTCCCGGCCTTCTTTGGGCACAGTTACCTGTCCCAGCATGGGGCTGCCCACAGGCCTTGAACTGGGCTCTGCTCCACTGGTGACCTCCATGGATGGCAGGGGGTGGCCCTGCCATCTCACCATAGGATACAGGGGAGTCTCTGCTTCAGCATCTGCCCCCGTTCTCCTCCCTTCTTCCACTGACCTCGGTGTTCAGACAGATGTTCTCCTCACAACTCCTCCTCACCACTTCCCCAACTCCTCCCAGGTTCCCCTTCTTAAATATGTTATTGCAGAGGCGCAGCTAATTGGCCCAACCTTAACACAGAGGCAGCTCCAACTTGGAGCCAGGGGAGCTTCGAGAAGCGTCTCACAGGGGCCACCACTGTAGCCCCCTCCCCTGCTACCAAAACCCCTTGCCACTCACTCAAGTCAGGACACTGTGCTAAACCTTAGAATATCTAAACAAGCACTAACATCTAAAAGAGATTGGATTAAGCCTAATTAAGCCTTTCCTGTACTGGTCTACTTAAGTTCAACAAGTTTCTATTTTGCGCTCTTTCTATCAGAACAATTTTAAAGAGTTCATTTAGGTATAAGGCCTACAGAACCTCCTTACTGCCTTGGTCAAAAACCCCTCCCTCCCTCCTTTCCTCCCTCTCTCTAATCTGGTCTAACTTACAAGAACAGAGCAGGGATGGGGGATAAAGTCTAACTGGGAGGTATCATCTCTGGACATCATATAAAGCTTGGCAAACAAAACATTTAGCAATATCCATAAAAAGGCAATAGGTAATCTCTAAATATGAATGGATTTCACAGAGCTGAACGATGACTTTCTTCTCACTGCTTTTCTCAATCAGTCCCCAGTATGCAGCAGGACAGCAGTGTTGCTATGATTCCACAGGGACCCAAATCCTCACGCATGACTCCACAGGAGGCAGCACACCTGATCGAGGCCATGACTGGGGTTCACCACCTTTCATGAAGCCTCCCCGGATACCTGGCTTTTCCCATTGGCTTTATGACGTCATTAGCTTCTATTACTGCTGCCTGTGGTCTGATAATTGTCACCTCTATATGAAAAGGCGGCCCTCCAGTGACTGCAGGATGTATCGCCCACCTCGAGCTGGTAAGGGCTTCAGAATTCCTTTAAGGAGTGTAGTTTTTTGCTACAGTGTCGGCTTTTAGAATATTTGTATATGTACATATGTCACTTGACAATGGTGAGGGCACAATGTCCTATGGAAAAGTTCCATAGAGGTCTCTCTTGATCTATCAGTGGCAAAATCTGTATGTGTTTTTTAATTGTCCTGCGAGATTTTCTGCTGTTGAGTATCTCATTAACCCCTGGAACCTAAATAGCTGAAGTTTAGCAGTCAATGTTCATGACTTCCTATCATCAGTGGGCACTTTCTCAGAAATAAAATGGTTAGGGATGGTTAATGACAGCTTGGCAGTAGCTAGAAAAGCTGTTGTGCTGAAAAACGCTGCTCATATCAAATATGGAAGTTTTACCATTTACAAATATGTCTGTTGTTCCTGCCCCTTGCTTTTACTTAGTCCTCAAGTCTTGTCGTATTTCTATTGCTGCCACATGTCTTGCCTCCTTCTATGCTGCTGGGTGCTGAGATGTCTGGCCAGATTGTGGCCTCCTGTAAAGAAGGAAAGTGCAAAGAGGCAGCACTTGTCTTCAGGAAAAAAGGAGAAAACTGCAAAGGGCACTGAAAAAGGTAGCTAGGATATGATGTAACACAACACAAGACTCTCCCAGGACTAGCAATAGCCAAGAGTGAAAGTCATTCCTGATTTTCCCATCAAATGTTCCTGTCTGAAAGCAACAAATGAATAGGGAGCTAGGAGCCAAGTGTGACAATGAGGTTGAAAGGGCAAGGTCCTTGCCAGCACATGGCCCAGTCCTGAGCAATGCGAGCAGGGTGGACACGGTGATGGCAGCAGCCATCAGCCAAGAGTTCAGATGAGTTTGTAGTGACAAGGCAAGTCTGAAGGAAAGCTGAGAAGTCACTCTGACAGACAGGGTCAAAGATCTGGTCCAGTAATTGTAACCAGGGTGGGGCACAGTCCAGCCATTGTTCAGCAAGCACACAGGGACAAGGCATGTCCAAGGACAAGCCAGAAAGTCAGTCGCAGGTCTGTGTGAAGATCAGCGGGGTTTATGGCCAGACACAGGCATGGCTGTGTTGGAGATGGAGACAAGAACACCCATGACACAGCTCAGGCCTGGTCCTAAGCTTAGATGCAACCTCATGGACAAAGCATATAGATTAAAGGGCCCAGTGAGACTCGTCCGTGCAATTAAGGCCTATGAGTGTGCTCAGGGCCCCGACAGTTCCATTATGACAGAGGAAGGCTACAACATGCCTCTCTTAAGCAGAGAAATGTTGATGAGGGATGTGAAGCACATGGTCTTGCAAAAAGATTCCTAAATGTACTTATGCCACTACATCCATCTCAAACGTGACAAAAACCCATCATGCAGCTCTCACTAAGCACTGTAGATGCTTATCTTTCTCCTAGAAAGTATATGCCAACCACACAGTCAGGAGTGTTCATTAACCTTGTACAAGCCTAAGCACCGGAAAAAACTAACCCTCACACACCACAGAACCCTCTGCAAAGAACTTAATGCTAAAAGCGTGTCCGAGCATACCAAAGATGGATGTGGTACAAAATCAGCTCAAACAAAAAAAGTTAGCTACCTTGGTATTTACAGAACTCTCCTGGAACATGAGATATTGGTGTTAAATGTCTCATCTGCCAGATGTGGGGAAATTACTTGAACCCATCACTTAGAGGCAGGCCTTCTTTACTGTGATTTTCTCTTGTGTTTGTTTGCTATGTGCACTTTGATCTGAAAATCCCAAGTGAATGCACTAACTGCTGAGGAGAAAAACACAATGGCCTTCTCTGCCTTGATCTAACGAACCTGATTTATGGAGGGGACTCTTTCTCTAGGGAAAGACTGAGAGAGACAATGATCCCAAAATACTTAATCAAACAGTTAAGGGACCTACATGTCACGTGGATGTCCTTAGTCATCGAGAGTCATATCTCAGATGACACAACTTCAAACATTTTTTTGCCCTGGAGGGGAGAGGGACCTTCTGACCTCTTACTGATCTAAAAGGCAAAACCAAGGATATCTGCTAAACTCCAGAGAGGCTTTGGGGCTGGGGATCACTGCCATCTCTCTCTGTTCAGGCCAGATGAGACTTCAAAGCCCCATTCCATGTCACTGACTGTCACTTCCAACTACATTGAGAAGCACCCTGGTGAGCTGCTTCAGGAATAGTCCTGTGTTTATGTCTAATTCTCCTCATACACTGCATACAAATCAGGCTTCTAGCCTGACCGATAGAGGATTCTGGTAGGGGGTCTATCAGGTAAGCATTGCTGCCCTTAACAGCCTGTTAAGATGCAGTCCTAAATGTTGGCTGATGAAGATGAGAGGGAGTAACTGGAATGACATTTCTCACTGTTAACCACAGTGCTGTTCCAGGTTGTCATAGCTGTTCCTCATGACACATTTACCATGGATCAGACTTGCATTTTTTCCTGTGTTTAAATGCCATTCTTTGGATCACCACAATGAGATTATTTTCTCTTTCTCGTGAATTTAAGAGGATTAATGGGTTGTGGTTTTTGCTTGTTCTGATTTCTCTTTTTGCTTTTAAAAACAGCATCTGCTTTTGGGGATCCTCACTTCTTTACATTTGATGGTCTGAACTTCACCTTCAAAGGCCAGGGAGAATATACGCTGCTAGAGTCTGATCTCACATCCCTAAGAGTGCAAGGGAGGACACAGAAGGCACACTTTCCCAATGGTAAGTTGGTAAGAGAGTAAGCAGTGATGACAAATAATAACTTCCGACATTGCAAGTTGATTATGGGGGTCATTTTTTTATTCAAAGGGTCTGATTGCCCTTGTCTTTTGGCTTGTTTGTAAAATGAAACCCAGGGTAGAAGCAGCTTTTGCAGGTACCTGTGGCCTTCATCATCTGAACGGGTAGACTGAAAGCCATCCTGTAAGAACTAGATTGTCATATACATGCATTTTAAAATGAGGGAAAAATCGAGCATGAAGCAGCGGAATGGGATCATGTCATGAGAGACAACCTGAACAGCCTTAAGTCAGATCCTTTTGTTTATGCTTTTCCTGTATCTAGTGCTATTTTACAGTTTATAAAATAGCAGGCTTGCCTCAGGAAAGAGTATCCCAGCTGGCCTCAGGGATGCACTTCAATGATTTGGTACTTCTGGTAGAATTATAAGGATGGACTAAAAATTGTGTGTTTCAGCACACATGTAGACATGAATGCTTATACTCAATATCACATTGGATAGGATGGAGATTATCGAGGATATATTTTGCCCTTGATAGATTTTACTGTGTTTGTGGTAGAAGTGGCATGAGTCAGTCACTGAGCAGTTCATCCTGAAGGTCAGTTTCTTAAATTTTTGTTCACTCTGTTTCCTTTTCCTGTCATGACCTCCATGAAATGATCTTCAATTTTCCCAAGGCTTACTCACAGGACTAAATGTGGAAGAAAGAGATCAACTGGTTTTCTTACATAGCTCAGCCACTGCCATTGGGATGAAGAATTTAGAATTTCCAGGCTTTTATTAGAATTAAACATTCTGCTTTCAACATAATATACTGGAGGGAAACTTATACTGTGGGTTTATGTGACTTATATGCTTAGCAATTCCCTCAAGTATAAATAATCATATTTAATTATATTTAGAAAATACCTTTTTTGTATTTAATTTGTATCTAGGAAAATTGTTTTGCCTTTATAATTATACCCTTCCATATTTACTTTATATCATGTTGGGTATTTTGGGGGGTTGTATTTTTATTTGGAAGGAACTGAGGCTCAGGTGACAGGCTTGTCTGCAGTGGCCATGCAGGAGAACAACTCAGATGTGATCGAAATCCGTTACTCGGAGAATCTGAATCTGGAGGTCCTGTTGAACCAGAAGGTCATCAGCTTCTCTGAGCAAAGCTGGATGGACCTGAAAGGTTAGTAGCCTTGTAAGCTACTGTATTCTGACGAAGCCCATGTACAGTTAAAAACTTCTCTAAATATATGTGTTGTGACTCTCTTGAGTGTCCTTTTGCAAAACAGGCTGCAGGTCACTCCAAAAATTGTATCAAGAGTGAAACAAAGGACAGGCAGTGTCCCTGCTCATTAGCATTCATTTTATTATCACATGACTTTTTGCAGTTCAGTTGCTGCCAGATTGAGGCAGAATCAGTGGTAGTGCACAGTTGGCATGAACCTTGGTGAAAAAAACAAAATTGAGAGCACATGGGGGAATGCCCTTTCCATCCAGTTTGCCTACCCAGCCTGTGTTTATACTAGCCCAGTGCATGGATTCCTCTGGCCTTTGAGGCTGCTGGCAGCTACAATATGGGCAGGAATACAGCCACCAGAATGATGGGCTACACATCTCCTTCCAAACAGCCATGGATCAAGGGTGCTACAGAGAAGCTGTACACCGTGGCTGTGTTCCCATGGAGAGGAGTCATGGTTCAGGTAAGCGCATCAGAACCCGCAGCCTTCAGCTTCCTGTCAGCACTACTGGCAGTTAGCCCAGCTGTAACTGGAAGCACCTATGCTGTGTTCAGGAAGAGGCAGAGTCATGTGATTTGCCAGTGGGCTGGACTGTGGCATGTTCTCCTCTCCCAGAATGTTCAAATAACATAAATGACAGCCTTTACCAACACCTGGTGCTTGCCTGAACTTCCTAGGATATGAGAGGATTACAAAGGGATGGCATGCAATCCTGGCAATGACAGGGAAGTGTTTTAACAGGTGGCTTCAATGTCCACATCTTCTACGTCCTCTTTCAGTGGCTTATAGAGAATTAGTTTTCCTTCTCATCCCGTAGAGGGTGAATGGAATTAAAAATGTCTCACTCCACACTCTGTTTTGAGCTTACTGCATCTAATGCAATGAAATCTACCAACCAAAATGGAATATAGCGAAATATAACCAAAATATGTACTAATATGTAACTTAAATTCACATTCACCTATCAGGAGCAATCTTGATCAGTCAGATGTTATTCCTCTATTCTTCTGCTGGAGAGACTATGAAGAGTTGACTTTTTTTTCCTCCAGTGGTGTGATTATTTTATTAGTCTTTATAATAATTTGACAAATACTCTAAACATTACTAGAATTTTATCAGTAAGCCTCCTATTCATTGGAGGAAGTTTTCTGTGCTAGCAATTATTATTCCTCAAATGGCTGGGGAATATAATGAAAAGCAGAGGGAAGATTACATCAACAAGGGGCTGCAGAATCAGAGATGCAGGAAGGAAAAAAAAAAAAAAAAAGGAAGGGACAGTGATGGAGCTTGAAGGAAAAAAACACATTAGGCAGGTCTTGACAAGAAGCAGAAGAAACTGGTGACCACCGAGAGCAGTGGTTCCAGCTCACAGCCACTCTCTGATGTAATCATCTCCCATCTTAAGGCTTCTGCTCTGGGACGCTGCCAGAAGGGAGGGCAGCCTGTATCAACCGTGGCCTTTTTTATGACTCCTCTGTAGCAGCCATCTTACATATGTAAGTATGAAGCATGGAATGCCTTTAAATGCTTCTCAAAATGTAATGCAGAGTAGAAGGAATTAAAAGTTTTATGAAAAATGGTTAAAACTGATGACACAACAATCTGTTCACTATGGATGATTTGCTGTTTTGCCCTCTTCCTCTCATTGTTATAGGTCTCTTTCTCCATTCTACAGCTGATCAAAACATCACAGTTATGTTCTCTTCTGGGTCTGGAGTAGAAATAAGGGGAAGTGGAGGATTGCTGACCCTGACAGTTCTGCTCCCAGATAAGTTTATGAATCACACACAGGGTCTCTTCGGGGTAATGAATGGCAACATAGAGGATGAGTATACCTTCAAGAATAAAACCTCCATGTCAATTCATGCAAGTCCCCAGCAATTGTTTGAGTTTGGAGCTAACTGTAAGTCATTTCTCTGGTCTATTATTACATTTTCTTTCAAAATTCAAAACCGCTTGTGATTTACAAACTAGCAGATGAAGTCTGCACTAAGCAACCTATGCTGGGGGAAGAGAAAGGAGCAAGAGAAGTATGTCTTCCTCTACCCAAGTGGGTAATGTACCTAGCCGAATGACTGAATACAGAATCATGAAGGAACGTCCTGCACTTTGTTCCATCAAGAGTCAGAGTTCGTATTTCTACATTCTACTATGGTCAGCTGAACACAGCATCACCAGACTAAAACATTACAGTTTAGCAATAGCCAGGGTCAGCTGTCTTCCAGAATATTAGCAATGTTCCCATCAAGTACCATGCTGACAATTTAAAAAAAAAAAAAAATCAAATCTCAATATAATAATTATCCCTGTCGTGGTTTGAACTCAGCCGGTAGCAAATCACCACATGGCCGGTCGTTTACTCCTGCCCCCCCCGCCTTTCCCGGTGAAATAGGAGAGGCACAAAAAACCCCGAATTCGTAGGTTGAATAAAAACCAATTAGTAACAAACCCACAGTAACAACAGTAAGTCCAAACGGGTAATACACAACGCAGTTACTCACCAACAACGCAGTTACTCACCAACCGGCAGGCAGCCCGCCGCGCAGCATTCCCGACCGAACCGAAACCCCCACGGCGCCGACCCGGAAACGGAAACGCGCGAGCACCTGTCCGTGTGCCGCGAGCGGGACCGCGGCCGGCCGGCTGCGCGCCACTGCAGCCCGAGGAAACTTAACCCCGTCCTGGCCGGGACCGGGACGGTGCCTCTGAAAAAGCGGGTGTCGGGGGTGTGTGTATGTAAAAGAATGGCTGCTTTCATTTAATGAAAGTGATTACGCTGCTCTGTCTAGCTTGCATCATTAGCCTGGTCAGCACTCCTAGCAGCAGGTTAGCAGATGGGCCAGAAACATGATGCAAAATACCCTCTGGCTACCGTCTCATCCCTGCATTAAGCACAGCATAGCCATACTCAAGGATTCAGATCGTACTGAAAAGTCTCACCGCTCCTACTTCAGGAAGTCTCTGATTTAGTGGCATGAAAACAAAAAGCAGGGCTATGGCAGACACGATAAATTTAGAGAAGCACAGGATCAAGATTTCTGTTGCTTGTGATGTTTGCTTTAGCTAGCTCTGTCTGAGGTACTTTATCACCATTTTGCCAGCAGGCATCTAAAACCATCTTTATGTAAAATCATAGCTACACAATTATTTGGATCTAATTTTAAGTAACTGATCAAACATCAGGTTAACCAAACACTAACTTCAGTGCTAAGTTAAGATGCTGGAAATGAAAAGTAACCTTGAACTGAAAGGAAGCTGCAGGGCTTTGTAGATTTCTTCCAGCTCTAGCTACATTTATGTAAAGAAGCAGGTGGATTAGTAGCAGAAGGTAGTATAGGTTTGTAGGCAATGTTACATATTAATCTCTCTCTTTCTCCACCTCTCAAGGGGCTGTTGAAAATGGAACTTCTCTCTTTACTTATGACACAGAGTTCTTACTGAACAGTTTCTTTTATGGGGAAAAGCACAATGCTTCCTTTCTGCCCGTGTTCATTCCTAACGAAGACCCTACTGATCCCCTGCTGAAAGTGATGGTCTTGCTCTGTGACTCTGACCCGTTCTGCAGATTCGATGTTCTGACAACAAGAAGCCTTCAAGTGGGAATTTCCACAAGACTATCTCATCAGAATCACAAGCTGCTGGTAGAAGATCTAGAGCCAGGTGATAAAACATTCCACAAAGCATTTCATCACTAGAAAAAGTTATTTTTCTACACGGCATCTAAATAGTTCACACTGTTCAAGGAGGCTTTGCTCAACTGTAGGTTCATGCACCTGTAAACATGCTTACATGTAAACAATGCTTACCAGGAGGAATTGTCCTTGTACCAGGAAAACTCTGCACTGGTTGGACAGACAAACACAAAATAAATTTCTTTCCATTTCTTCCACTACTATACCACTGTGTGGAACCTTTATCTTCATTTTCTGTGCCTTCACTTGTCTTCCTTGGACTTAATTTTTATTTTTTTAAATCAGAAAGTATTGTCTTTAAGTTAGTCTAAAAATCTTTGTCTTTCCATGAATTGCTACTAAAATGCCATCTGATTCATTGTGTTGGATCCAAAATACTTTAACCAGATATGTGTCTTTAACTAGTGATCTCTTGTGGCTGGCTGGATCATCCAACCAATGGAAGAAAGAATGGAACTACCTACCTGCTGGGCTCAACCATAAGCTTCATCTGCAATCAGGGCTATGAACTCATTGGGTCAAAGGAAAGAATTTGCCAGGTGACGGGGGTCTGGTCTGGAGACACACCCAGCTGCATCCCAAGAACAGGTCTGTTTCCTTTTAAATGTTACAAATTGACATTGAAAAAATCATTATGACGAACAAGGCAATCTCAGTAAATGATGACAGCCCTTGACAAAAGCAACTTCTCTTACTTGGGAAGACATTGGACATGAAATCCCTGGGTTTCCAGAAAGACTAATATTCAGATCTAAATAACAGGTAGTTTATGGTGGGTTTTAAAAATTTTATTTCATGTATCTACTCGTTCTAAGGGTTTAGGACTACATGCTTCCCTTTCTCTGGGTTTGGCTGAAAGGAACTCGTAGGCATGCTTCTTGAGTGGACAACCTAAAATACATTTCAAACTCAAGTCTTGAAAAAACAGGAAAGCATAGTACTTAGCTAAAAATGATTCTGTAGCACAAAAATATGAAGGGTGCAATAAGAATTCTTATTTACAGCATCATTTTCATGTAATTTTCTTATGTAAATATGTTCTTTTAGCAGCTTTATAAATATATACTCGATGCTTACACATATAGAACTAGCGATTATTGAAATCCTGTAGCCATATTTCAAGTATAAATGATGGCACAACCCCCAGCCATTTATTGTCACTTGTTCTGTCATCACTATTACAGTTTTAACTTTCTTTGCAACTAACTGGGGCAAATGTATATCAGTCCAAACCATCTGAGGAGTGGTTCTAAAGTGACACATTATGAGTGCCTGAGGAGAAACTTTGCAGAAAAGGACCTGGGGGCCCTGTGGACACCTAGCTAACGTGAGCAAGCAGAGCACCCTTGTGTTCCCAGGCTGCGTTAGGCAAAGTATCACCAGCAGGACGAGGGAGGAGATCCTTCCCCTCTGCTCAGCACTGGTGAGGCCACACCTGCAGTGCTTTGTCCAGTGCTGCCTTCCTCTTCACAAGAGACATGTGGACATGCTGAAGAGAGTCCAACAAAGGGCCACAAAGAAAGAGATTAGGGGACTGGTGCATCTCTCCCATGAGAAAAGGCTGAGAGCTGGGAGCTGTTCAACCTGGAGAAAGAAGGCTTGGAAGGAGATCGTATCGATGTGTACAAATACCTTAAGGGAGGGTTGCAAAGAGGATGGAGCCAGGCTCTTTTCAGCAGTGCCCAGAGGTAATGGGCACAAGCTAAAACACAGGAGGTTCTGTCTGAACATCAGGAAACACTTTTGTACTGTGAAGCACTGGCACAGGTTGTCCAGAAAGGTTGCAGACTCCCTCCCTGGAGATATTCAAAAGCTGTCAGGACGCAGTCCTGGACAACTGACTCTGGGTGGCCTTACCTGAACAGTTGGAGTTGGACAAGACGACCTCCAGAGGTCCCTTCCCACCTCAACCATTCTGCAATTCTGTAAGTTGAGAGAAGACAAAGCCCATGCTTGTTGAAGGCTTCCACTCTTTTGTTCTAAAGAATTGTTATCTTAAAACATAATGTATTATTCTATAGCAGTAAAATTATTGTGAATGATGTAATAGTATTTAGTATAAATAACGAATTAATTACCCATTTTATGTCACGACTATTAGATTATCAATTAACCTGGGACTGTTGGATTTAGTAGCAGTTAGGCTGTCTCTACAATTTACAGGAAACTGTCCAACATTTTCTAAGTTTCGACTTTGTTTTATTCATACACCACATACACCCCAGATGTCCTCAAGATGGCAATGTTTCAAAGCACCAGGGTGATGCAAGGCCACACAGCATGTTGAAGCACTTTTACTGCAGTTAATCATCAAATAACTCATATCAACAGATTCTCCATTCTTGAGCACCTTCCAAAGAAACATGGAAATTGCACAACACATCAGCAATGAATTCTTGGCCAGCTGACACATTTCATCAACCTCTGCAGACCTGCACCAGTTGCTTGTTCATCTCCAACACAGTTCTGCAAGTTCAGTGATATTTGTGAGATGAACCACAGTGAGTTTGGGCAGCAGACTGTGGACTTTAACCTAAAAAATAATTATTGAACATATAAAACAGCAAACGTTGCTTAATTTTAAATAGATGAGTGGACGTTTATGGAATGTTTTCTTGAACCAGCCATTATTAGTAATTGATACGCAACTGATTGTGTTCACAGGGGCCAATCTCAGTAGTGATGCTATTTTGGAAAGACGGAAACTAGAGGTATTTCAAAACATTTCTGTTTAATATGATAGGCCAGAGCATATGGAGTACTTTAGCAGTTGAAAATACAAGAGATTCAGGAATTTTGCAGATAATTTTGCATACTTCATGGTTCACTGTAATAACAGTCTGAGAAGAATGAAATCTTTACAAAGTAAGGCCAGATCTTAAAAAGTCAGCGGCAAAACATTTTGCTAAGCTGAAAGCTAAGAACATTTTTCCACTGCTGCCATCAACCACATACATACTGGACAGAAGCCAGTCAGTCTCAATAAGCAAACCGGATGCTGACATTTACACTAGAGAAAGCGGGGCAAAAAGCCAGCCCTGAGGGATCGGAGGGAAGGAGTTGGAAGATATGCAGAGATTCACTGCATTCAGAATGATGGGAGATGTGCTGCAGCTTTACGGATAAGCAAACAAAAACCGCAATGTTTTCCAGCACATGGTTTCCTAAAAGATGACAAAGGACAATAAGGTGTGAAAGAATTTTATTGATCTGACTGTAACAAAGACCTTCCTTACTTTTTGATATTCGGGGATGTACTTCATTTGCAATGTGAGTCAAAAATGAGGAGTTTTATCAGCCTCAGGAAGTTGGGAGTATGGCAATGCAGCCCATAGCAGCAGGATACTGGCAGTGCTGACAACTGATTGAGACAATCTAAAATACAAATTGCATACACAATTCTTAATTTTTTTTACTGCTGTGCCCTAATAATGGCATTCACATCTGGCCTTGTTCCTCCTTTTGCATCATAAAATATGCTGCTGGATATCAGTCTCTGCCTGAGAAGGTTATTTTATTGACAGGTCCAAGTCTCTCCCAAGATAGGCAGAACAGTCCAAAGTTCCTCTCACTTATGTCTAAGCCTCTAGTGGTTTTATAGCATGGACAGCTAGTACTTGCTTTCCACATTTCTGCCTTCAGTTTAAGACACAGCTGAAATCCAATGCCAGTTTTCCTTGTGCTGATTTGGAATTCAGCACAAGTACAGAAAAGATCCTCATGTTGTCAAAATCTGCTGTTACCGAGGTCAGTTCACCATTTTCCTCTTTACCACAGCATCATGCTGCTGTGTCACCAACATCAATTTTATCAAGCCCCGTGACAGAAGGTCTTCTTGATGCCAGGAATATGCTGACAAAATCAATGGACAGTACTTCCAAATTTCTGGGCGCCTGAATGGGTGACCACTGACCTAGCCACTGTGATTAGTGGTCACATTTTTACTGCCTGCATGAACTATTAAAACACACATTTTTGAATTATTTCTTTCTTGCTGGTCAAGAACACAGGGTCCAGCCCTCTATTATTCTCAGCTTCCAGGGGTACTTCTTTACAGCGCTGTGCCCATTACACGTGCTGCAGTTTTGTGGCACATCAAATTCAAGCTCTGTATTGCAAATCAAAAAGAATTTTTAGTTGCTATGTGTTTCTGTTTTTCAAAACAGCTAGAACAGTTAAAATAAAGGCATGAGGACTATGGAAACTGGATAGAAAGAGAGATGGAAACAAGAAAACTGAACGCGTTATTTTGCAAAATCCATTTCTGTATTTGAAATTTCAGATACAAATGATGCTGTTGGTCCTGCATATTGTTGTTTTTGAGTTTTTCTTCCTTGAGTTAAAGTTTCCATGGAAATCCTCTGCTAATAATTATTTTGCTATGCTTCTAATTACAATCCCACTGCATGTCTTGCCAGTACCACAGCAACCTCCCTTCACAGAATATCACATAGAGGAAGAAAAATAAACCATCCAGCAAAAGCAAAAAGGAGACTCTAGTAAGATAAGAAGTAAAATGCAGCTAAAAATTATAATTCTTAGCTATATATATATATATATATATATATACACACACACAGATGGTTTGTTTGTGACAGACAATAATTTGGTGGTGTCAACTGCAATCTGGTTTTGGCCGTCTATTGTTTTTTTCCTTTTTTTTTTTCCTCCCCTTCTCACGTTTAGGTTTCATTTTCCATGCTCAGACTCTGTGCAAATACAGTTCTTTTTGGAAAGTTGTCAGAAATCCCATTAGACTTCTGCATTTTTTTTTTTTCAAATGAGGATGCCAAAAAACATTAGTTCTTCTTATTACAGAATTTTTGTCTGTCTGTCATTTCCAGGAGACTGGGTGCAAAACATACTAAAATCAAGAAATGTAACTTGAGATTATAAATTAAATACAAAGATTTCACAAGAGGCAAACCACCACTGGACCCAACTACCGAGGCCAGCGGTGGGTTCTCATCACTTGGCAGAGACAGGATACCTGCCTGTAAGATGTGTGTAAGCCAAACACAAGTTTTTGAGCCTTGCACAGAAGTTACTGGATGAAGGACCAATGCCTGTGTAACAGTTTACGTGTCCCATTTCTTTCCTTAAACTTCAGTATAAACCAAATTAGAAGACAAATTATCTATTCTAGGATCACAGAAGTATCTCTTACATCACTCTGCCATCACCGTATGCTAGGCCATAGTCTGGGCAGTTCTTCCCACAGGCAGGACAAAGCGATGGAAGGACTGGCTGGCAAAAATACAGCCCAGATACGTTAAAGCTCAGATGCACCACTGCTCACCTATCTCTAAATAGGCTATGTGCTCCCCAATACATGCATACAGTGCTATCACTACATGCAGAAAAAGGGTGGAGCCTGAATCTACTTTGACCTTAGGACACCATAGAGCCAAGGAACCACACTTCTGTTTGACTCACTGACACTGAGCCTGGGACAAAGGCTGCTCACACTGGGACTTGCAGTTTTTCAGCAGTAGTACTCCAACAAGTATTTTCCTTAAAGGACACAAAACTCAGGAAGCATTGTTTCTCCCAGAGGGTTCACTCCAGATGCTGCATCTCCTAAACTTTTACCAATCATCTTATGTGTCATGAAAATTTACCTGCATGGTATCTTTAGCTTCTGTTGCTCACCACCTCCATACAGCATCCTGCTAGTGCTGTCCTACATCAGCAGGAAGGTGACAGAACTTGTAACCTGCAACTCTTTAGCGGAATAAGAAAACAAGAAGAGATTTATTATTCAAAATTTGTTTCATATCTGGTTTCTTATTATGTGTCTTTATTGTGCAAAATCAAATTGACACTTTTTAGCATCATACTGTCTGACGCAGTTCACCATATCCACATCAGAAAAGTTAATTCTGCTCTCTTTTGCATAGACCATTAAGCAGCAGATTTAGTTTCAAAGTTTTAATGCCAAAATAGGGGCAATTTTTAAAGCAATGAAAACATATAGAAAAAGGATTGAAAAATGCCCAGTTGTTGGAATTGACAGTTCTACATAAATACCACACATTCATGATGTTAATGGACTGACCACTAGCCATCCTTTCTTTGTGTTAGAACAGCTTTTGCAGCCACCTGCCCTAACTGTCAAATGTAGGAGCTACATGAGTTCCTACTCTTTAACAGTCTGTTCCACGAATACAAAGAACAACATGTGCCTATGTTCAAGCAAATATGAAAAAATGTATCAAAGTCCTCCTGTTTCTTGTGGTTGGTGTCTGTTTTTCAGATATCAAACAAGTAATTCTTCTTGCCTGTGTGTTTGGAATAGTTGGTCTTGCAGTCCTGACACGTCTGACTTTCTTATGTAGAAAGGAGAGGTAAGACTTGATTGAACTGAAAACACAAATGAACTTGCTAAAGAAATAGCAAGTGTTGTGACCTTTTTAATAATTTTTCTCAATGACAAAGAAATCAAACATGCTACTACTTTTTATGAAAAACATCAAGTCTGCATAGTCCTTGTGGCCTACTGGAAGACTATGAAGCAAAGTTGGAACTGTATTATCAAGACACGCAGACATGTGATTGATTGATTGACTGACTGATTGATTGATTGATTGATTGACTGGAAGGAACAGGACTTTTTGGTCACAATAACTTATCTGTTGAGTGACAAGGCTACCTGATTAAAAGTGGGTTTTTTTCAGAAGAGGTGTGCTCATGATACCAATAGGTAAATTTGATGTATCATCTAAGGAACACATTGCATGATACTGTAACTTTCCACATATCTTTGAATATATTCCCACTTCTAGGCACATATGAATTTGCTTAGAGAATGCTTATATGTTTCTTGTGCCAAAGAGGTGAACAGAATTTTAAAGATGTATCTGTTTGCTGCCCATTCTTGGAACCCTTCTACCACATAAACTCACTATCAAAGCTATTACATTTTTAAAAGAAATCTCTAAAAAATTATGTGGCTAGTAAATTACTAAAAATGATGTTTTCATCTTTTGTTTTAAAAAGGTTGTTGTGACTTCACATATTCTGTATATAATTAATTTTGTTAGCCAGTACTAACAAGACACTTAAAAAAATATTTCTGGCTCTGTGCGTTTCTAACAGGTTCATCATTGCAGATAGTCTTGAAGCAGAAACCAGTATGATAGTCATGTCCACTGCTTCTGAGCTAGTTCATCAATTAACTGTGTCCATCAAAGGGCCAGAGGCATGGATAAATTTTGCCCCTTCCCTTTAAATCACAAAAGCATTGGTTTTCTACACTTCACAGAGAACGCACATACCTAAAACACTTTTTCTTCCTCCCCTGTACAAAAAAAAAAAAAAAAAAAAAAAAAAAGATACTCAACACAGGGTAGATAACTGCAGCGATTAATGTTTTCTACAACATAAAAAAGCATAGACAAAAGACAACTCCTGTATTTGCCAAATTTTACACACACCACATTTCCACGTATAGAACCAACTGGTTTAAAACACAACTATTACAGCTGCATAGACTTCTCACGTTTGGGAGCAGCTTACAGAACGGCTACTCTAAATTCATAACTGTATATCAAAAACTAATTTAAAAAATCAAATGAAGCCCTTGTCAACCCTTTTAAACTCTTGTATATTTTGGAAGTCTGTAGGTAATTTTCATTTCATGCTACCAAAAGCTTATGATTTATGAAAAAATTCTGAGAGTTTAATAAAGTCCATAGCACTCAGGAGGGCTGTATATTTGGATAGCAATAGAGGATGCAGTCCTTTATATAGCAGTAACAAATTTTGAACAGATAAAATTTTAACTAGGGAAGGCTTATTAGACAATTATTGAGTTGTGAAAATCTGTCATCTACTGTATACTCTCTTGGATCTCAGGGTAAATATAACCCTGTGACATGTCATATGTTTTATATAAGAAGGGAAAGAAGTAGTCCTACATACTGTGGGTCTTTGAAAACATTCTGGGTCTGCACCCACTCTGACAATCATCCAGAAAAGGAGCTGCTCTCGGTGTTCACAGCTAAGACCATACTTAAATAGTAAGATAGAGTCAAGCATCTTAAAAAGCAGAATAAAAATATACAAAAATCCTAATCATTAAATGCTATATGCTTTTAGATTTCTTTTTCCTTTAACAAACAGAAAAACAAACAGGGTCTGTATTTTCAATCTTTCTCCAGCCTCCTTTCTAGCCTAAAAGTGAATGGTAAATTTCTCAGACAATCAAATGATTCTGTGAGCTGAGACTGGGGTGGGAGGCAGAATCACAGTATTTAGAATAAAAATTTCAGGAAATCAAAACACCAAGGTGCTCAGTAAATTGGTTTATGCTTTTCCCTCCCAGTTATTGTGTTGATAGGTAGTCGCAAATGTATCTATTAATATTTTGGTGATAAGATCCTCTTAGCCAAAAAAAAAAAAATCCAATGTAAGGTCCAGAACTTAACCACTGAATCACGAGTTCCCTGCTCACTCCGACTTTTTTTCCTCTTTTGTACTCAAAAAACAATCTTCTTTCCAGACCCTTCATTATCAGTGTTTTCAAACCAGTAATATTTGCCCAGTTTCTCCTTTTGCTCATATAATTCAGACCACCGTACTAGAAAACAGAAATTTACTGTTGCACAGTGATAACAGCAAACCATCAGTATTCTCTAATTTCATTACATGCTGCTCAAATAGAAGCAGTGCTACATATCCTTCAGCACTACTTCTGGTAATTCAAATATTTTGACCCTTCAGCATCGTATGACAGGAGGGATATTGTTCTGTGGGGAAGGCATGCACTGGAATTACACAGAACAGGTACTTTAAAAACTGGTGTGACATTACTATGCCACTTAACCCAGTATTCTTCTCACCCTGATCAATGACATTATGGTAACTACTTTAACTGCTCTCTCTGGCTTTTGGGGGGGTTTTAATGTTTTTTCTTTGTCTCTTCTTCCAAAGACAAAAAGGCAACCAGAAACTTGTTTCAGAGGTTCCAGCTGTATCTGACTGAAGAAGAAACAATGAAATTCCAGAGGAGTTTTTAATGAAATACAGAAAAAGCATAGCAGAGGATTAAATCGTCCACAGCAACAAAGATAGACTTTCCAAACACAAACAATGGTTTTATATAGTATGCTATCATTTGATTTCTGCTTTCACAATAGTGAGTGTTGAATTGTATGGGAAATGCTAACCAACTTTCTGGGATTATACCATGGCAGGCTCAGCCTATTGTCTGTCACGAGCAAAGGATCATGCTTCTAAAAGTATCAGTCTCAAAATTACAGGCATTAGTTTCTTCTAACAGTCACATCTCTGCCATCAGAATCAGCATTCTGAGAAAATCAGGAGAAAATGAAGTGCAGATTTCTCCACCCTTTTCTTCTTTTACTTGAAAGCTGGTAAAATAAAAAGAATTCTAGCCTACTATGCTAGCCATTATCAGAGAAACATTTGCCTTCCCTGGGGCCATGTAAGGCTGAATTAGGTAGATGTAAAAGTGGTTGCACAATCAGATGGACCACTGGCAAGTCGGGTTGAATTTGCAGATTGTTGGGTTAGGGAGAGTTATTGATGATATTTACACCTTGCATTCTTATATTTTGGCAGGTCTCTGAATACAGACCGAAAGTGGCATTTCTGTTTCAGTTCTGACCTAATTTTAAAAGGATACAATTGGGCGAGAGGAAGGGGAAGTACTCAGCAAATGAAACCTTTCCTTCCAGGTTAACTATAATGATTTTTTAAAAACCTTCAAAACAAAAAATCTGTTATCTGAACTGGAAGTATTCTGCAAAACTTGCAATGTTTCCCTTGAATAACCGCAACATGAATTTTTTTAATATCTAGCTGTATTACGGTGTGTTTCATTATCTTCATTAAAAAGTGATTTCTGACCTACTACCTTGTACAGAATTCTTTCATCATAATAAAATCACTATTTGCTTTTGCTTACGTTCCAAAGGGTTTGTGAAGAAGTTCTGTATTGTCCATCTCTACGATAGTGAAAGAATTCCTTTTGCAGGTCGTTTGGGCTGGTTTTCTAAGATCTTTAATTCATAAACTACCAGAAAATCATGGTGGTTTCAAAAAGCAAGGACAAACTATGTGCCAAATGCACAGGAAAACTAAATGAGTGACACAGTCCAAAATTTACGTTATAATGGGGACAAGATAAATTGAAAGAAATGCCTCAGACCATGTATTACGAAGTATAAAATTATTCATTACTTATTAGCTGCCCTTGCTCTTTTCATTGTCGTTGTTTGTAAACAGAGACCACAAACCACAAGCAGAAGATTACAAAATGAGAGTGAGTGATCTTGCATATGGTAAGCTGAAATATAAACAATCCCGTACAACAGACAGAAGAAAAACTTGTAAAAAACTAACTTTGAAGGAAGAATGGGAAATTATCATTGGCAACAAACTGGCTGCCCATTGCCAGTATGCGATAGGTTAAAAGAATAAAAGTGCAATTCAGGTATACACACATATCGATTGTGTGTGCAACTGATTAGTGGGCAGCAGAATGAACAAAGGTGATTTTGCCTAGAAGTGCCGGAAGACTGAACTGGCCTTTTGGAGATACGTAAGGTTGGTTTTGTGAACTTTGTTACCAATACAGCGTTAAAATTTGTAAGCCTTCTCTGTTCTGGTATCCTTAAGGAACAGAATGTTAGATAAATGGAATCAAAACTGGATGAATGGGTAACACAGTGGGGTCCCAGTCCTTGGAGAGGAGGATTTTGTGGGTCATTAATCACAACACAGTAATGTCTCATATGCTGTTAGACACCATGTACCACAAGGAAGTGCTGCATGCACGCACAATGACTTGTAAAGGAATGCTAGCAGCACTTGTCAGTAGCTCAGACTGGGAAGGGAATATATGGAATGAATTAGAACTCCAGTTCTCCTGAAAAATGTGTATGTTAATGTGAGAACACAGTACATTTCTATGAATCAGAATTATTCAGTTTAGCCCATCATAACAAAGCAGTGGTAAAAACAAACACCCACGACCTCCACGAGCTGTTTGGTCAGTCTTGGTAACTCCCAAGACAACCGTCTCCAATACCCTATCTTATACACACACATACACATATTCAGTGGCAACAAAATCACATCTGCTCGCAGCGCTCTTGTGCAACCAAAGTCCGGAATTTAGCAGAATTTGTGAACCAAATGACTGGACAAACTTAGATATTGTATGTGCAAGAAGGAATTAAATATTTCATCATTTACCATTTAAAAAACCAAAGCGTAACACCAAGCAGACAAACACCGCTATTGTTTTTCAATATCTCATCAGCTAAAAAATTCTACATTTGCTAGGAATTCAGCTCAAACAAATAATAATGTGGCACATTATTGTGCTGTGCTAGTAAAATGTACGCGTAAAGCCATGCTAGTATGTATGTAGGTAACTCTTTTTCGGCTTTCTATATACATTGCAACGGCCAAAAGAGATTTCAACACCTAAGTTCTCCTAAAAAATGTTTACACAACGGGAGGTTTCTGCACGGTAAAAGAGAGGTACCATGGCGTCTGTGAGCGCAGCAGCTGAAGCCCGCAAGCTGCACCCCGCCGCTTCCTGTCCGTGGCAAAGGTGCCGCCTGCCCTTCAGGTGTCTGCAGGTGCCCCCGCGCCGGCGCTCCCCCCGTCCCTGACACCACGAGTCACCTGCCGCCCGCGGTTCTCGCTGGCGGCGGAGGGTGCCGTTCTGCGGGCGGTTTCCAGCAGACACTGCCACCGCCGAACCGCCGCTCACGAGGCCCCGCGGGGTCCGGCCGGCGGTTTGTAACGCACCGGCCTGGCCGGCGCGGCGCCGCCCCTCGCCCTCCGCGTTCCTGTCCCCGGCACCCCCAGCGCGCGC